CCCTCTGGCTCATCATTGTTTCCATCCCCGCCAGGGCTCTTCTGCCTGGTATCCTTACCCATGAGCTGCTCATATCATCAGGCTTCCCAACTCTGCCTACTCCTAGCAGAGCTCTCTTTCACAGCTGCCAGAAGGGGACTGCCCCTTTGGCCTCAGCCTAGGCTGTTTATATAGGCCAGGCCCTGCCCCCTTCCGGTCAGCTGACCTCTAGGGTTGCCCCGGCAACCCACACCTGTCCTTCTTTAGGAGCAGGGCACTTCAGTGCCCTGCGACACTGAAAAATGACAATTTTTAATGACAAGTGAAAACTTAGGATAAATGTTTAAATATTTGATTCCTGAAAGAAAGATCTGCTTCTGATTTCCTTAAATAGTATTTAACCCATGAAAAGTAAACAAACAAGAAAAAATTGCTGCACTGAACACTTTTCTTTGTTCTTCAAGATTCTGCTTCAAAATCTGGCTCTTTTTCATCTACTTTGGCATTAAGCGTTCTAAAGCATGTCAGAAGTTTTCTCCATTTCTTCACTTGTAGCCTGTTCTTTAGTTTATTCTGAATTAAAGTAAAGCTCAAGGAAAATCTTCCCACTGAACCAGATCATGCTATGCATACTTGTAGATAAGTCACAAATGTAACAAACTTTTAATCTAAGTATGTTTTCTTCATGACCATCCTATTATGGGTTTTACATTCATCCCCATAACCTCTGAGAAAAACAATTTATGATAGGAACATTAACATGTCTGGAACTGAATTGTCTGGGACAATTGCTTGCCAAATGCACTGTTGAGCAATTTCTTGTTCTGCACTTAAACTCGCCCCCATGTATTGTGAACGAGCTACATAGTCTAGCAAGTGAGCTGCAGTTCATTAAATCTAGACTTGATCAGGTTTTCATATGGTTTCGGAACTTTGTGAGGCATTGTAAGTAGGCACTCATATTACATACTCAATTGTGGCATGTTCACTCTGTTATTGATATTGGTTGCTGATGGAGATGCTTTGCCTTTTTGTAAAACTTGATGATTATTTTGATTATGTTTTCTTAAATGTCATTCTTGTGCCCCTCTACAATTTTCATGTAAAACTCTCATTTTCAGAAAAGATTTCTTGCATGCCAGTTCGCTATTCTAGGCAGTTGGGGCATAACCGATCCCTTATAGTTGTTAAGGTGACCTTTTCAATGTGGTGGTTTTAGCAGCATTTCTGAAGCCCTGTTACTTGAATAAGAATATGATTCACAGAGTTTTTTATGTCATTTACCAGAAGGTTCATGAAATGACAGGAACAACTACAGCTTATAAAATAGTTATGGTCTTCTGCTGCTTCTTGGTTCTTGCAGTTCTTCACACTGTTTTTCATTTTGTTTTCTTTGTCACTGACAAAACTTTTCACATTACAAGTGTACTTTAATTCTACTTCATAATAGCTTCTATAGCTGGTGCTAGACCATATTCCAGTGCTTTATGGTTACTTTCAGTCTTCACTGATGACAGAAAAAAGGATTTGATCCACTTAACATGAAGTTGACTCTGAAAGGACTATTGTGAGTAGCTGATGAGCCATCCTGAATCAGTGTAATCTCTTATAGTCCTAGTTTCTGCTGTACTCTGCTCAACTTCTTCATACCTTTAACAACAGATCACTGGCTAGGCTGTGTCTAGAAGAGGGCTCATACCAGGCCTCAGATTACCTACCTTTCTTTTCAAATAGTGTCTCTCTGAGCAACTAAGTGGCTCATCCCATGAGTAAAACTGTTTTAGCCACCTTTAGGCCTACTTCCTCTTTTTTCTCATGTGAAGTTTTGCCTTATGCTTATTTTTGGCTGAGAAACAGTCCTACCATATCTGGAGGAATTCTCAGCAGATGATGCCCATGACAATAATAGTAAAGATTAAAAGAACCTGTTTCTTTGAATCAGTGATGAGCTACATCTCCTTATTTCTGATTCTGAAGTTACTTGCATTTCTGTCATTAATTCAGAATCACTGAAGTTCTAATTGTCATTCTGTTTAATTCATACTTTTGCACTTTTCCTTGTGAGATTTCATTCAAAATGACACACTACCTTTTTACAGTCTCTGGACTCCTGTCCTAAAACTTTTCCCCCTTCATTCTTCATTCCTTCAAAGAAATGCCTTCCTTCTATATGACATAGAGAACTGTGCTTTGTTTGGTATTTGGCACTGTAGATAAACTGGAAAAAAAAATCCCAAACTCAATCTACATTAAAAAAAACCAAACTAATACAGCTAATCAGTGCTGAAACAAAGGTAGGCAACTGGAGCATATCTCCAGAGTGCGGTCCCAGAGGGGTGTAAAATAGACGTGAGAGTATTTAAAAAAAATAAGAAAAAAATCTTTTGAGCATTATCTTTGCTTTTATCACTTTCTGTGCAGCTTGGGTTAGTTACAGCACTGTAGCTGAAAATAATAATGATATTTTAAATTAGTTAAGGCTTTATGGTTTCAGTCCAAGGATGGCTACATTAACTTATTAAATATCTTAACCTATTCTTTTTTATTTCTAAACACCTTTTCAGCATTTGAATGATCAGATTTACTCTTATTCTTAATGCTACATAAAAAATAAAAAGTATGTGAATCTATACTCCAACTTTCCCTTACAAAGACAGTACAGGTATGATGTACAGTGCTTTACTATCATTTTCTAACAATGTTTTGGCTCTGACTGAAGATGTTGTACAAACATCTTGTTAGTCATCCTTTGTCATGACTGTAATAGCATTGTAAATGCATAAATATAATGTTTGCTAATATTGGTTAATATTAACATTCATAGTTAATTATTTTGTTTAGGAACCTGGCAGTCAAAAGAACAGACATGGGTACTAGGCTGGGCTTCAAAGTAGAAGGAAATTGTGTGGTAAAGTTCCATATACAATATTAAAAATAGCATATTTAAGCTGGCATTAATATTACTCTTATTAAGCACCTTGATCTGACTGTAACTTTCACTTGAAGAAATACAGCCAATCACAAAACACTCAGTTGAATTTCATTCTTCCTCAGAATCTTCATCAAACTAACAATCCAAACTTGAATGGATACTTTTATTTTATGCAGCATGAAAATCAATTTGTAGTTCAATCAGCTTCCGGAATAGCCATAAATGTTCAATTACCTTATATTACTATTCAGACAGCTGAGAGAATCAACTGACTTAATGACTAATTGTTCCTTACTCCACAAATGTTAATGGTCACCTCTCTTTTTTAATGGTCTTGACATTCCACTGATCAAGCAAATCTTTCATAGGTCAATGTTGCTGTTTACTAGCTACTCCTGGTCTCTCTGCTCCTATTCCACCTTCCTGCAGACTGTTTTAGCTCTTTTTTTCAAAAATTATAAATTCACCCATGAATACCAGTCTTCAGCAGCACCTAGGGTTTCAACTTTAGTTAAGCAGGAAAGGGAGGGTGAGTCAGCTGAAGATTAAGCTCTGTCCCTGCTGTATGAAGCCATAACTCTGGAAATACAATTTGCTATTCTGCCTTTCAAAAACAAGGTTTGTATTATATTTTAGGGCATGTTACATGCAAAAAAAAATATGGTATTATGACAGTGTCTATCTTTTGCACACAGCTGTGGAGCTTCAAAGCTTTGGAAAGTGATACAGTATTTTTAACTGGGTAGAGGTTTCTATGAATATATAAAATACAAATGTTTCTGTTTGTGTTCAGTACTAAAATGTACAGTATCATACACTCCATCCTGGAAGGTTCTCTAACCCTTGCTAACCCATTTCCTGAAGGTCCAAAAGGAGAACCTGGTACAATAAATAGAATACCTGGACCACCAGGACTTCGGGGACCTGATGGTTCACCTGGACCACCAGGAGCAAAAGGTGAGTGCTTCCCCTAAATTAAGTACATCAGTTGCACTCTAAGAAAGATTCTTACCCTAGCTGTGGCTCCTTTATGCCAGCTAAGAAGGCTAGAACAGTATAAAGATGCACTTAAAAGCTCTTGATGCATCTAGGAGGATTCCCCCATGTGCGGGGGCTTTGAAGACAATTATGAGTTTGCCTCCCAAGTATCCTCTTGGAAGGGTACAATTGGGAATGAAAAGGGAATACTGTGGCATATCCACAGTATGTAGTCCTACAGAGATTCTGGGCAGTGCTATCCAAAGACAGTCTGGGGAGACTGCTTTACTACTGTAGACAGGTCTCCATTTTACCTAACTTGGACTCAGCTAGGCCCCATTTCATCCTGCAGGGATTCCAGCCCCTGCAGACAAGGGAGGATCACCCACCACTACCCTCCCTAAGATGAAATGCAGAGTGGTCATTGCGGGAGACTCACGACTGAAGGGGCAATCTGCCTCCCCAGCCCGTTACCCCAGGAGGTCTGCTACTTCCCAGGGGCCTGCATCCGGAACATAGCAGAGAGGATCCCAAAGATTATCCAGCCCTCTGAACACTACCCTATGTTCCTTATCCATGTTGGCAAGAATGACATGGCTCAGAGCAATCCCAGCCAGGTCATGAGAGACTACAGGGCTCTGGGAGAAAGGCTTAGGGGGTTGGGGGTGCAGGTGGTCTTTTCCTTGCTCCTGGCTGTGGGTCATGGGCTGAGGAGGGAGAGACAGGTCGAGGTAGTCAACCAAAGACTGTGGTGCTGGTGTCATCATGAAGGCTTCAGCTTCCACGATCACAGTCTGCTCTTCGGTGAGAGAGGTAGTGGTCTGCTGGGGAGAGATGGCCCCCACCTCACTCCGCTGCCGAGGAGGCTCTTCTTAGCCAAACTGGCTGACCTGCTTGACCAGGCTTTAAACTAAGCCCGCCAGGGGTTGGGTGGATTACCACCACTGCAAGCCCACTGGGCAACCTTTGTAAATCCAGCAGGCTAAAGCACTTAAGGGGACGCACCCCTTCCCTAGTCCCAACACGATCTGTAAGGAAGGCAAGGGCCCCAGTGGGACACTTACCTGCCTATACAGCAATGCCAGGAGCTTGGGGAATAAACAGGAGGAACTGGTCCTCCTGCTAAACAAGAATGACTATGACCTCACAGGGATCACGGAGACCTGGTGGGACTCCACCTATGATTGGGCCACAGGTATAGATGGCTATACCCTGTACAGGCAAGATCATAGAGATAAAAGAGGTGGAGGTGTAGTTTTCTATGTCAAAAACAGCTACACATCCCTGCAAATTGACATTGGCAACCAGAAAGGATGACTGGAGTCTTTCTGGGTTAAAATACATGGGGAATGTGGCACAGGGGACATCTTGGTAGAAGTCTACTACAGACCTTCTAACCAGAAACAAGAGCTAGACCAAGAATTCTCCAGGAAACTGGCTGAGGCTTCATGCTCTCAGTGCATGGTTGTCATGGGGGACTTTAAACTACCTGGACATCTCATGGGAAGAGCACATGGCCAAATCTGATCAGTCACAAAGCTTCCACACGTGAATGGATGAGCTCTACCTGACTCAAGAAGTCTATGGGCCGACAAGCGGCAAAGTGTTGCTGGACCTGGTACTGGCCAAAGGGGATGACCTAGCCAGTGACCTAAGAATCGATTGAAAGATGGGTGATAGTGACCATGAGCTGATCACCTTTATTATCCACTGCAAAGCTGGCAAGACAGTCAGCAATACAGAAGTTCTCGACTTCAGGAAAGCAGACTTTAACAAGCTCAGGAGGCTCGTTGTCAAGGCCCTAAGGGACCACAACTTGACAGGAAAAGGAATCCAAGAGGACCGGTTGCTCCTCAAGGGAGCAATCCTGACAGCACAAGGGATGGCCATCCCATCTCAGAGGAAGGGTAGCAAAAGGTCACAGCAACCCCCTTGGCTCAGCAGGGAACCTGAGGACCTCCTATGCCTCAAAAGAGAGACCTATAAAGGATGGAAGGCTAGAATAACCACCAAGGAGGAGTACTCAGCACTGGTCTGTACCTGTAG